CATGTAAAATGTGTTTGAGATTGATTCCAAAAATATTCAGACTAGATTTCTGCAAGATCGTGGTTCAATGGAGAGTGCAGATGGACATGCCAGGAGCAGCACCAGGCATAACTAAAAATGAGGTGTCAACTTGGTGAAGCGACCAAACAGGACTATTTGAATGCCAAACAGCACCGCAGCAATTGATAGGTGGAACTAAGAGATTCCACAACTAGCGTAGCAGATCTAAGCTCTGCAGTCCTCCATATCCAGTCGTGAATGGTGGTGGCAATTAAACAACTCACTGGAGGATGAGGCTCCACAAATATCTCCATCCTCAATGATGAAAGAGTGCAACACACAAGTGCAAAAGATAAGGCTGAAGCATTCACCGCTATCTTCGGCCAGAAGTGCTGACCCATCGTGACTTCCTCCAGTGGTCCTCAAAATTGCAGATGTCAGTTATCAGCCAATTCGATTCACTCCATGTGATATCAAAAATGGCCGGAGACACTTGATACTGCAAAGGCTATGGGCTCTGGCAGCATTCTGGCAACATTACTGAAGACCTGTGTTCCAGAATTTGTCGCTCCCCGAGCCAAGCTGTTCCAGTATAGTCACAACAATGGCATCTGCCTGGAAAGTTGCTCAGGTACGTCCTATACACAAAAAGTAGGACAAATCCAACAAATTCGATGACTGCACCATCAGTCTACTCTCAATCATCAGTAAAGTGATGGAAGGTGTCATTAACAGTGCTATCAAGCAGCACCTGCCCAGCAATAACCTGCTCAGTGATGCCCAGTTTGGGTTCTGCCAGGGTCACTCAGATCCTGATCTCATTACCACCTTGGTTCAAACATGGACAAAACAGCTGAATTCCAGAGGTGAGGTGAGGTGAGAGTGACAGCCCTTGACGTCAAGGCTGCATTCGATTAAGTGTGGCATCAAGGAGCACCAGCAAAATTGGAACCAATGGGTATCAGGGGCAAACACTCTGCTGGTTGGAGTCATACCTGACACACAGGAAGATATTTATGGTTGTTGGAGGTCAGTCACCTCAGCTCCAGGACATCTCTGCAGGAATGCCTCAGGGTAGTGTCCTAGGCCCAACCATCTTCAGCTGCTTCATCAGTGACCTTCCATCTATTGTAACATAAGTGGGATGTTTGCTGATGATTACACAATGTTCAGCACCATTCTTGACTCCTTCGATATGAAGCAGTCCATGTTCAAATGCAATAAGATCAGGACAATGTCCAGGCTTGGGCTGATAAGTGGTGAGTAACATTCATGTCACACAAATGCCAGGCGATGCCAATCTCCATTAAGAGACCATCTAACCACCAGCCCTCGATATTCAACATTGTTACCATCACTGAATTCCCCACTTTCAGCATCCTGGGAGCTTTCTATTGACCAGAAACTCAACTGGACTCACCAAATAAATGCAGTGGCTATAAGAGCAGGTCAGAGGCTAGAATACTACAGCGAATAACTCAGCTGTTGACTCCCCAATGCCTGACCACCATCTACATGGTTCAAGGTGAGGAGTCCCACTTGTCTGGATGGGTGCAGCTCCAACAACACTTAAGAAGTTTGACCCCATCTAGAACAAAGCAACCTGCTTGATTGGCACCACGTCCCCCCAGCACAACACTCAGAAGCAGCACTGTGTGCCATCCACAAGATGCACTGCAGAAATTCACAAAAGATCCTTAGACAGCAACTTCCAAATCCATGAACATTTCCATCCAGAAGGACAAGGGCAGCAAATATATGGCAACACCAGCACCGGTAAGTTCCCTTCCAAGTCAGTCACCATCCTGACTTGGAAATCTATCACGGTTCCTTCACTGTCGCTGGGTCAAAATCCTGAAATTCCCTCCCTAACTGCCTTTTGGGTTAACCAAAGCAAGTGGACTACAGTGGTTCAAGAAGGTAGCCCACAGCGCCATCTCAAAGGCAATTAGGGATGGGCAATAAATGCTGGCCAGTCAGTTATGCCTATGTCCCATGAGTGAATTATAAAAAAAAATCTTTTTATTTGCTATTTTAGTTCTAGATTATAATTGTGTTTGCATTGAACAATATCTGTTATTTGGGATGTTATTTAAGGCCCTTGGGATCTTCTTGATGTTTGCACATGACATTAGTAATACAAGATACTTAAATGTATAAATAGATTTGTCCTTGATGTGCATCAAGACCAATCAATAACTGAAACTGTATCCTTTCTCATGCTGTAATCTTTTCTGTATTCGGATAAGCATATTTCAATAAGTAACAGCATAGTTGAAATAAAGTTCATACCCTCTGAATACCCTGGTCCCAAATATTTTGGCTGTCATCCTCAGCGCCAGATGAAGATCTCCGACTCAATCTAGATGCTGGAAAATAAAGCAATGATATTAAAAAGAATCTTTAGTCATTAGCAGATTAGAAGGGGGACTCCTCATAAGTGATACTTGGTTGGTCGCAACTTTCTCTCTCTTTTTGTTATGTATTCTCTATTCTACACTATTAGCCATCATGACTTAGGTCATCAAATTCTGGACTTGTAATACCCTAGCTTTCAATTTGTCCTAAACTCTTGTGCAATTCCTACTTAAGTTGTTAATAATACTAGGTGGCCACTAAACCATTTTTTCTGGATCCCTCTGTGAGCAAATAAAAATAAAAATCTTTTTCCACAATTCACTTGCCTTAGGTCTATTCACTCAATTTGCTGTGCAACTCGTTAGTATATACTTTTACTAAAGCCCTATGTGATTGCAAATACTGTATTATATCTCATTTCGTAATCCTCTGCTGCAAGGAGAACAACCTAAGCTCTCTCAATCTTAATTTTACACTTTCTGGAACTGTGCCCATTGCCAGATATCAATGTCTCACATATGTCTGAGCTCTTTGTGATATGACTCGGTTTGCTCCAATGTGACCTTAGTTTTACCCCCTGACAAATGCTGAGATTTATTCGCAAGGGAATTTATCTCTGCACATCGATGCTACAAAAAGACTATTGTTTCTAAGTAGTATTTACATTTACCTTTGTCTTAAACATTCTCTTGAGAATTAGGCAGTTAATCTACTGTAATTAAAATTCACTCTGTAGTACAGGCCACAGATTAATAATGAATAATCATGAAAATGTTATTCTGCTCTGCTCCAAGTGCTTGATACACAAA